AGCTACCTGAAATATTAACATTGGCTTCCTTTTTTGTACTTTACTATATTCCTTCCATTGTGTATCCACTGGTTCCGACTATATCAGCACTATGAGTATTACAAAATTGTCGTGTCATTAACCATCATGTAATTATTGGTTTTGTGGTTGTTTTTCTTATTTTCTATACTTTTCGGCAATATTAAACTGACAATCATTGTTTGTGAATGCCATAGCCACTACCTCAAAAAAATTTTGTATTATTCAGGATTACTCACACTACCACCACAAACACTGCATTAGACCTTAGTAGACTTTGGTACTTTTTTGCATTCATAATTATTTTGTGTTTATCCTGTTTTTTTTGTTTTTGCTGTTGGTGTCTTCAGATTTATTTTTTTTTATTTGTTTAATACTTATTTTAAATGTCGGTATAATTAGATGCAAATATTGTAGATATGTGCTGAAAATTCCACACTGTACCACTAGTACTGTTTCTGGAATAAAGCAAATTATTATTAATAGCTCAAGCCTTCGTCTCATTATGATAACAAGTTTTTTCTTTCAAATAGAATAAAAAAGAAGAGTAAGCAGGATTTGAGGTTTATTTAGTGAAAAACAATAATAAACATATGTCTTTACTGAATTAATTGTTTTGACAGTGTCGAACTGCTGTAACTGGGTTGACTGTCATTACCGGCCATAAGCAAATAAATGAATGAAGTGTATTTCTGAATCCGTTGCAGTTAGAGGAAAGTAATATAAAACTTGAAGACCTTGTGTTTACCTTCATTTTCTGACAACGATTCATTCGTCTTTTTTATTCTGTGGTCATGACAACAAACATATGTGGTTTTCAGTACCAGATACATTATTTCTTCTGTCAAGTACAGCAATACGCAGACAACGGCTTCACGTTGTGGTGTCATTCCGAACATTCAAAGATAGTTCATACACTTATAAGACAGTAATAATGGAATATGGAGTAACACTTCTTTCTATCTGTTCAAAGTATTATTTGACAAAGTTTCTTGACAACAGTTTGTAGCACTCCTATTGATTTGATAGGAAGGTTGACGTCGTGTTCATTTTCATCAACTGTCAATCCACGGATTATAGCATACAATAACTGCATATAATTAAGCATTTTAGCCTCAATATCAGAAAGTCTCTCCAGATAGGCTGTTTACCAATAAACGGTTCAAAAACATGAGTCACAAGATCAACTTTCATACCCTACACAGCCATGAGTAGTTCCTAAATGACCTCAGAATACCTTATAGATCTGAAAATGAATGGTTATACAGAAAAATAGTACTGATAGTCACAGGAGCAGCGCAAATCACCTTTGCAGATACAGACTTGTGGTCATCGATCAAATCGAAATGAAACAAGTTTCTTTCGGGTAAACTCGACCAAATACAAAAACAAAACCAGACGGTTCCAGTTACTACTGGTAAAATCAAATGGTTCCAAACAGAATTTGATTGATAATGGAAAGCTGAAGAAATGTCATATTACTGCTCTATGAAACGAAATATATCAGATAAACATGGTACAAACCTTCAGGTGTGAGATTATCCGACGTCCAAAGAGAAAGTGTACAACAGTCGAAACCAAAACTAGTGGGCGAGCTTGAACACATCCTAAACACCATAGAACAGATATCTAACCTATATTTGTGTGCTTAATCTCCATTATATGCCTGAATCTTACAAAACAACTGCCATAACACCAACCGTTACCTGTATTCAATTTACAAACTGAAAATCAAGAGCCAATCACAAACATGAGATCTTTAAGGCCCTAGAACTAAAATAAAAGCCATTTTCGAGCATTATTTCCCGAAGTGCATGCCTTTATTCGCAAAAATTCATCTGAAATATGAAAACACTTCTACGAATTAATACGAACATAATACCAGGAAATACCTCCTTTTCAGAATACAGAAACATGAAACGAAGAATATACTCCCGGTTTTCACAAAGGCAGACCCTTGGAAACCCTCTACAGATGTGACCACAATAGCTCGTACTATTCGCGAATATACACCGATAAAGGCTTTACCCTAACAGGTGTTTTTGAGCTTTTATTTTCGAAAGCACGACAGAGGGCAAATGGAGCTTGGAAAGCCCAGGCAAACAAACGGGAGGGTATTCACCATTCTTTGGCCAAAAAAAGTTTTATAAGCCAAAATTAAGATGTAGTTCCTACTTGGTTACACGTCCTGTCTTTCTGAATTCCTCAACTACTTACTAGATCATGGCATACCATGTTGTAGATGCTCTACATGGGAAGTGGGTTGGTTGGTGACGATTGCTGTTTCAAAACGAACGGATAGTTAAAATAATGGTGGTGAGCCATGGAACGATTTCTTTTGCCTAGATTCGCAAGCATGTAAAACAGTGAAGGAATCATCGAATCATACATAAGAGGAAAGTTAACCGCAAAGACCAGTGGGGGTGATTCATGAGCGTCTGAATAAACTCCACTGGAGATAGAGCAGATAGGACCGTGTATTGACGTTCTGTTCACTTCTTAGCTAAGTACTAGCTCTCCTATCACAATACTGAGCTGGAGTTTGATGAGCCATACCATATTTAAGCAAACTAATCACCAATCTTTAAAGTCTCAACCAGTGTTGACTTACCAAAGCAACGGTGGAATTCGGTGGGGTAATCAAAATTTGAAGTCATGCTATAGTTTGATAGTTACTACCCCCACGTCGCCAATTTCCCGCCGCCGACATCCCCCAGTGTGTCTGTTACCTAGGTCTACAAATAAATGATTCTTAGTTGATAGATATGATCTCACAACTCATTCAGAAACAAAACCCCCTGTACCATCTTACGCACCTACCAATTGGATTTACTAACATACTACTTTTATAGTCCGTTGGAAACTCATAGTTTTCCGTCCACGCACTGTGGATTTGATGTTGACACAAGCCAAAATTTCTTAGCATCCAGAACCAAGACTTAAAGAATCAACCTAGCAGCTTACTCGACTTCTGAACTGCGTGTAACTCACAGGTTTCCGATAACAGCTTCTTCCCCATCCAAACTGTGCCCGATATCTTCTGTATCGCTTAGGGACTTCGGTCGATATGGAGACTTTATAATGTTAATGTCGCAAATAATAAGGGTTCACGTGAGGCATAATCTGTAAACAATTCAAGAATGGTCGCAAGGCTGTCTCAAATATGCAACTTTCGTTGCAGGAATTTTTCCACATTGAACAGTACAGAAGCTGCTAATTACAGTCTAGACATAGTAACAGACTTCAGTGTTGCAACCATAGACTTAGTTTAGATCAAAGAACAGTGAACTTCACGAGAAACATCTTCGACAGGGATACATGTCGCGGTGCTGTGTGCGAACTCTGAAGCTTCGGCCAAACAATACAGCTGAACTGTCAACGGCCAACAAGACAGAGACTTTATGTGTAGTGGCATACGAATTATGCCCGACTAATTAGGGTTATGTCAACTATTCCAGATGACAACAGAATAGTCGAGCAGGTCTGAATATCACTCCGATCTCCTTCGACAAGCACCGTGAAGAAGTAATTGACCCAGCAATAAGGTAGCACTGCTATACTTCCAGTTGGGTAGAATACTTACGTTACATATGATAGAAGCGTTCTCGGTAGCTTGACGTTAAGATCACTTTTTCGTAAACGGATATTACTGGTTAGCACACTACATTCGATACCGAACTTCCCTTCAATTTACTGTTTAGATAGGTGAATGTCAATGTTCCCTTCTGCATGATCCTGTTCCAGGTCGAATTTCAATAGTTACGGTTTGTCATTAATTCTTTTAGTTAAATTAGATCCTCCTGTTCATAAAACATACTTCAGCTGAGGATAAATTAGCCTATCCTCGTGTATTGTATTAATAATTGTAGGCAGATCATCAATAGAAAAGTATCCTCTACCTACTTCAGTAACACTCTTATCGTACTAGCCAGTGTTATTCAAGATAATACTTTGTGAGTGAAACGTCGTGAGACTTGATGATGTTTTTCGGAAAATATGCAGTTTCATTCTGAAGATCGCTGTTCCCATTTAAACATCCTCCTCGAATGCTCGAAAAGTCTAAGAGGATTTCTGTAGTATCAATGTACAATTTCATAGAGAATTATAGATCATATTTCTGCAGTGATACTTGACAGTCGCTATGAAAGTTTCGAAAAGACATTCGTACTGCGTACTAAATGGAAGTCATATTTTCATTTAATGATGCCCCTGAGTACTTTGCCGCACAGCCGAACACCGTCCTTAGCCTATAAGACCACTTTGGGTGGAACACTGGGTGATGCGGTGGATACTACTTAATCCCTAACTTAACGGAGTCTTTATGGTACAAGGTTCATTAGCACCACCAAACATTTGGTTGATAGTTACGCTCACTCCTGCTACATTTTAGAATATCAGCATTCTCATCTCCAAATATTTAACATCTGGTATAAGTAGCGAAGTAATCGAATCAATAATTCCTAGTTCTAGTTTGTTAATTCTTTCAGGAAACTGGGTTTAGTTGGTGTTTCCCAGTCACCTCTCCCAGATGTCACCTATCACAGTTAATTACTCGATTGGTAAACCCGTAAGTCACGGAGATGCCACCTTCATGATACGCCATTCAGCTTTCCCAACATGTATGAAAGGAAAGTTAAAGTTAGGATGAAGTGTTCTTCTTGTGTTTTCTAAGCTATTAGAGAGAAAGGGATTCTTGACAGATAGAATCGCTGGCGACACTGCTTTTCGAGCCCGTCTGTCATAACACCTCCTTAGATGGTCAAAAAAGGAATCTACAGCTCTAGAAAGGACATTAAGCGCATGCAAACATACTGAGTGGTCTGAAGCATGACGATATACAGATTTAGGATAGTAGGTCTTCGCTTCTTAGAATGGAAGTCACACAAATATTTGATAAAATCAGTCTCATTCTACTTTGGTACTTTCTGTTGTGCTTTTTCAATTTCAAAGTATTTTATTGTTTAACTGATTCAACACGGTCTGGAATGTTCCGCCGGGAGTCACTTGGAGGCGGGTTTCAACAAATATGGTTCACGAGACGAAGTACTACGACTTATTGGGTGTTTCACCGACAGCCACGGAGGCGGAAATAAAGAAAGCTTATCGTAAATTGGCTCTACAGTATCATCCAGATAAATGTCCGGACAATCCTGAAAAAGTACGGTAGGCAGTCCTGACTTAACTGACAAAGTTCAAAGAAATTTCACAGGCTTTTATGGTTCTCAGTGATGCCACAAAAAGGAAAATATACGATAGAGGAGGTGAGCAAGCCCTTAAAGAAGGCGGTGGTGAGTCAGGAGGAATGGCTGATCCCATGGATATATTCCAAATGTTTTTCGGTGGTGGACGCAGCCGTGGCCCACGTCGCGGCAAGGATTGTGTACACCAACTTTCCGTAACTTTGGAAGAGTTATACAATGGTAGTACGCGGAAACTTGGTGTTACGCGTAAAGTTATTTGTGATAAATGCCAAGGTAAGTCATTACATAACTCACCAGACAGTATTCAGGTCGTGGTGGTAAGGCGGGCGCTGTGATGCCATGTCGTGTTTGTCGTGGGACAGGCATACAGACTCATATCCGGCAGTTGGACATAGGATTTGTACAACAAATACAAAGCACATGTAGTGCATGCAGAGGTGAAAAGGAAATAATTGATCCAAAAGATTGCTGTAAGAAGTGCGAGGGCCGAAAGGTCGTCCGTGAAACCAAAGTGATTGAAGTACCGATTGATAAAGGGATGTCAGACGGCCAAACGATAAGATTCTCTGGGGAAGGTGATCGTGAGCCAGGTTTGGAACCTGGGGATTTAATAGTATCCCTTGATGAACAACAACATAGCCGGTTTATTAGACGTCGGACAGATTTGATATACACACTTGTTTTGTCGCTTTCTGAAGCCTTATGTGGTTTTCAGCGTGTCATACACACTCTGGACGATCGAACACTAGTTATACATTCCCGACCAGGTAAGTATCTGCTATCATTCTACATAATTTTAATAGGTGAGGTGTTCACGAACAAGGATTACCGTGCCATCGAATCAGAAGGAATGCCACGTTACAAGAATCCATTCGAGAAAGGTCGGCTCATTGTCAAGTTTGATATCGCATTTCCGAAAAATGATTTTCTACCGAAAGCGCAGTTGGAAACTTTGCGAAAACTACTTCCAGCACCTGCTTCCATTGAAGACATCCCTGAAGATGCCGAGGCTGTGGACTTGCATGCTTTCGACCCAGAGCGTGACCAGAATCAATACGATCGCCGTGCAGAGGCTTATGATGATGACGAAGGGGCAGAAAGTGGTAATCCACGTGTGCAATGTGCGTCGTCTTGAAGCTTCATTTAATCCAGTTCGGTGGGTGTATATTTCTATTGTGATGTGCTTCGCATGTTGGACCATATGATGTATTTCTCTTCACAGTCACACTGTCCATCACACTAATGTTACAAATTACACTTGTTTTCATACTGATTATAACCCGCCTAATCTGGTTTTTCACTGTGCTCACTAGTTTTCTGCGAAATGATTTTTGTTGAGCTTGCATTTGTTTCTGAATTTTTACAGTATGCATGTTGTTTTCAAGGGAGTCATAGGATAGAATTGTGGCTTTGAACAAGTTTAGTAGCTACGCTGTGATTAAAATTACATTTCGGTTTCTTAATCTAGATTCGCGAAATCAATATCTAATAATTATAGGACCAAAATATTTATCTCTCTGCTATTTTTGTTAGGTGAGTACGCGAATAGATGTCAAGATCAACAGGGAGTGAGGCAGGTGCATAAGAAACCTCTCCTGGCTAAGTCGACTAAAATTTTCAATCTGTTTGTTGTGTTCTCAATGTCCGGGTTTGCAAGATCTCTAGGAAGTGCCTATTATTTGAAAAAGCAGAATTACCTGATTTTGTCTTACTTTACTTCCGTAGTTCTGTCCTACAATTTTGAAATAAGCTTGATTCAACTTCGTTCTCACCAGCATAATTTCTCGAATGATTGCGTTCTGTTGGATGAATGTAATGCTAATGTGGTTAGTAGACAAGTCGAGGATACAACATATCTGACTCTGAACCCCTAAGGTATCGAAACCAATTTCGGTACTTATAATCGATAATGTGTTTGTCCCTGGAAAATTTCAGGCTTGGTTCATCCACACATTCCCACCAATGACGGGTTTGTGTCCACTTTTTAAACTTAAGGTGGCTTTACTTCATGATATCGCCTGTTTCTCATTTGAAGTAGGAATCCATCCTACTTTTAGGTCATGAGTTAACTCATTACTTCTGCCGATTTCGCATGTAGTTGCTGAGTCACTTAATATTATCTAGGCGGTCTAAACACAGTCCTCACAGAGACCTCGTCTGTGTCACATATATGTGGTGGACGGGTGGTTAATTGTGGATGTCAGTGTAACTTTTACCCATGTTACGGATTGCATCTGTGTTTCACGGATCGTATTATATATTTAAAAAAGCTGATGACAGCAGTTGACTCATGAATTTGGTCAACAAAATTTAACGAGTTTATACTTGTTATTGTTTCTATTCATTTGTGTTAATCGATCTAACTTTTGAGAACTAAGGGAATTATTGTCTGTATCGTGTGACTACTTTTGTCTGGAGGTGAATTTTCTTACCTGTTACTGACAAGTCCCTGTCTAGTTCTTGAGTGGGTTACCAGTCGTGGGGCACTAAAATTGTGCTTGCAACTTGTGGTAGCATTTTACTTATCTGACGAATCAGTTGCGTGTTAATTGAAGCTTTTAGATTGGCTAAATGACGTATTCGGCTCGTAGCATTATCATGCTTGAGGTTTCTGATACGACAATGTAGTTTCTTGGTATGTAGTCGTTTAATTCTTTGTGGTGTCCATTGTACCTCTGATTGTGTATCAAATTCAGCAAGTCGGTTGGTGGTCATATTGTTAATAGGCATGATCTGACGTGAGATTCCCAGTCTGCGAATGTCTACACAATGCATGCTGAACTATTGCTTAGGCTACCTAGAATTCCGGTTGTAACTGCTGCTGCTGGATTCAACATAGAACTTGGCACCGAAGTGCAGCAGTTCGAGTTGCCACGTTCCAAATAGCACACAAAGGTAGACAGGAAAATGAGAGAAGAGAATCAATAGAATTTAGATAAGTATAAGAGTGAAACAGAATGAGTAATGGTAGAAAGGAATATGAAGGTTAAAGAGACTGAATACATCTGCGCCATTGACAACGTCTTTTTATCGTGAAGCGTTCCGGTTGTAACGAGGATAGGTAGTTGGCAATAAACCTTCAGGTTATTACTACTAAGTGAATAGACCTACAGGGACACTGGTAGTTATGCGTCACCAAACAAAAGATTCCTGGAAACAATAGTCTGAGACATTTCAACAAAATTTCAACCGCTATGATGATGGACTGCAATGCTAAGTCCAGGAAGGACATGGACTCAATGGACAGAAGCTACTCAGTGAGTCGTTTACAACTAATAAAAATCCCGAATATGCACATAACTTTCTCGAACAAGATATTTAGCCGGCAAAAGCCACGCAGCAGGAGGTGCGGTCGATGTGCATGTGCAAAGTTGTTTTGCATTTTCTTCGTGTCACAACCCCAACTAAACGAAGGATCTAGATATATAAACCTCATGAGGCATCGGTGTCTGGTGACGGTTCGGTGTCACTTAACAAACAGTTCGATTAGTTGCTTATAAACTAAATGACCAAGAATAGTTTGAACGAACAACTGCTCTCAACAAATTCTTCAGGCTCTGCAATTTTAAGTCAGTGCTGATCCTACAGAACAATAAACCAACAAATAGGATAAACTATGTAATTTCAAGGGCGACTAATAAGAAAGATGGTAAGATTATGACGATGGTATGGTGTGAACCTTGAAGTACTGTTAGTGTACGATTCTCAAGTAATGGTGAAGTGGAGTGAACAGGATTGTGTAAACATAGTAAGTTGGAGAAGCAGTACGTAAACCTTAGGTAATGGAAATAATAAGCGAGGTCTTAAAGTCTGAAATAAGTACGTAGACAGTATGTGGGAAGGCGATCAAAAATAAGCCAGAGCGAAGTGTGTTATTGTTGCGTTTAATCCAGATAGGCTACTGCAGCTGAAATCGCTACATCTGCATAATCTCAAGACCGTGTGACGTGAATCTATGGATTGAACGATATTAGATGTGCCACTTGCGAGAACACACAGACCAACTGGGTGGCGAAGAGAATGTAGCATGATATTTTCTGATCAAAAAACGATTGTCGACTGCCTGCTTATTTTAGATCTCTTTATTGATTCACTTGTAGCTGTGGAATCATCGCAATGAGATCAGAGGGCTAGTCAACCTCGAGTATTTTAGACACTTGGTAAACTGTTCGCTTCGCAGATGAGTTAATACTTTCAGTACTGCAATTTAGAAGCATCTATATGATACGTGACATGAAGTGGAGAGCTTGAGATTCATTAAGCCTACCAATATGCAGAATAGTTCAAGTTTTCGCAACTTCTCTGAAACCATAACTGGGAAATTTAGGATAGGATTTATGTATTCTAATAATAACAGTCTCCTAACGCCATCTTCAAACTTAATGTACACTTTACACCGGCTTTTAGTTTCCACGTACCTCTGGGTATTCTCACAGTCGAAGTCATCACGTTTTTGCATATTTTCTTTGTGAATCACGGCGAAATTATCCATTAGTTAGTTGTTCTCACGCGACACGGTTTCTTAAATGTTCAGACATTCCGCTACTCTCCACAGTAATTCTCTTGAACTTTAATGTGAATAAGGTATTCAATGGTGGCTTTGCAGCACGTCTTATTGATTGTATTTTGTAAGCTGTATGATTCGCTACACTATGATGTTGACTGTCGACTGACTTCATATCTCTACTTTAATCAAGTCAAAGGTAGTCTTGTTGTTGGTATTTGAAATTTCGCAGGAAATGAGTGTTTGACGATGAATCAGTGAAATATCTTGACATGACTTTTTCTGACTTCTCCAGCGGGCGTTTATTATTGTTCCTTGTGTCTTGATTTCTGACTTTTTGCTGTATTGCTTTCCTTTTGATCTCATTTTCCGTGGTTCGCTTTCCGTTTCTTGTAATTCATTTTTACTTATTTTTTCTGACTTGTATGATTTTTTTGTTTTCTCTAATGTCTTCGTACAGATGTCGATTTACTAAACTTAACCTGCAATTCTAGTATTTGTCTGCTGCTGAACTCAGTGTGGAAGTGTCTCACTTATCTCTTTCACTATTTAGCTTTACAAATTACATGAACCCTATTTGTTGTTGCATTACACCATTGAATTGCGTTTATTCATTCTAATTCTTGTTGCATCGTCTTCGTTCGAGGCATTTTACAACTGAGAAGTGTATATGGCGTCGCTGGAGGTGTGATTGCTATTCAGAGTGAAGAGCATTGTGTCTGGTCTGCGTCTTCCATTGATCGGAATTCATCATCTATACAATATAGAACGAAATCGTTGGTCAAATTCGGCCAGTCAGTCGTACAAAGGTAGGCCGGATTTGAGCGGATTTACTCTTATCAGCAGACCTTACTCTTATTAGACCTGAAAGGTGTGTATGGATACCACTAAATTTCATAAATTCAGATCACATTGTTCTTAAGACCCTAACTATCCTTGTCACTTTCAGTGTGAATTCTTAACCGATGCAAGATTTCTCGATACTCGCAGAAGGTACATGTTTCAGTACCTTTGGTAATTAACTTATGTTAGGAACCAGCCTGGATATTTACTTTCCGTCACCATTAGGTGGCTGGTCTGACAACCAGATATTTTCTTATCAGTGGATTGATGTCGAGACTCTTGTTATCAGATATGAAATGTGTTGTTGCTATTAGTAAATTGAAGAGTAAAAAACTGGTTAGGTCGTTTGTCAGCAAATTCTTCATAGTACTGTATTCTTTCTAAATTCAAAAGACTGGAGAACCGATCGTTGGTGATATTTCGTCTTAACTATCATTTCAAAATTATGCGAATCGACTTTAGTTTACGGAATCAATTTGATTCTTTTTCCCTGATTGGCTTCAACGTAGAACTTTGCACAGATGTGCTGCAGTTCGATTTGCCAACCAAGGTTGCACACAAAGCAGCAGAAGAGAGTAAAAAGAAATATGAAGCAAAAAATATAGTAATATGGAAGAACAATACAATCTTATTGGATATTGTGATTCACAAAGAGTGAATGCATCTGCGCCACTGAGAACGGTTCTGATCGATATCACCAATTGCCTCCAGCCATTGGTATTTACCATCCTCAAGACCCTAACTAGACAACAATCTACACCACCTTTCGTGGCTTGAACTAACTGTTGTGGACTTCGTTGACTAATACCATGTTTTGGTTTGACCACCAATGACTCTATTCAAACCTGATCCATCCTATGTCAGCTGGCATTGCCTGTTGTCGGGGAAGGCGATGGCTAGGTATACGTAACACATGTCCTAACCATCTCAGTCGATGTGACTTCACAAATTCGTCGATTGATTTCCCCTCCTTACCTAACACGCCCTATTTTATCACCTAACACGGGAAATAGAACGTAGGCTCCTATGGACAAAGCCAGTTAGCCATTTCATGTCTTCCACTTCAAATGGCCATATCTCACTGACAGCCATAAAGTAGGACTGCTGACGAGTACACACACCTTTAGGTCGACAGCCGAATATCACGTCTATGTCAGAGATGGCGTTAGTCAGCGTCTTCCGAACGAGCCTTCTGTATCCGTGCTGAGATTTCGTCAGAGATCAACCTGTTTGGGCTGATGCAACTTCCCAAATAAGTGAAG